GTGACTGTGGAAATTAAGTGTATTGCAAAGTTTGTAACGAGAAAAAATAAACTAGTTTTAATTAAGAAAGGACTTGTGTCGCTGAAGTTTCTCAGAGAGAATTTTTACGGGAAATTATCAAACAAGCAGATACGTAACAATATATAAAAGCAAGAATTTATAAGATTGTTCACTTGTATTTTACATTGTATCCTGTCTCTTTAATTTCTTACTCAAAATCAGAGATTCAGCACTACTTTGTTATAAATATCTTGTTGAACTGTTATAATGTCAGTGTTGAGCCTATCCTATTTCTCTAAGGTTCACTCAATTTTACCTGAATATACTACATTGCCATGTGCATTAACCTGTATGCATGTATATATCTAAAAACTTGATCCTGTGGATGAATTAAATAATACATTACTAATATAGGAGTGGTCCAAAATGATCTTTCCTATTTTAGAATTTAATAATTAATTAACTAAAATAATACAGCCATGTAGTTCTCAAAATCTTATAGCCCAACTCAAACAGTTTTTACTGTCATGTTTTTTGTTTTTCAATCCAGTGAGTAGTGCTATCCTGTTAAATGGCAATTGTGCCAGAAAATGCTGAGTGGATCATTTGACTTGCAGAGACCCAGTCAATGACATGTGGGGCAGCAAAATTACAGGTAAAAAGTAGGGAGGTATGTTAAGGATATTGTGTATCACACATGTATAGCAAACACCACAGAGCTAAAGACTAGGATATTAGACACAATTGCCACTGTAACTATGGACATTTTTCAGCAAATGTAGACTGAAATCGAATATGGGTTAGATGCGCTGAGAGCCACTAATGATGCACCGTGTAGAAGTCTACTGACATGTCAAGAAAAACCGTTTGAGTTGGGCTACAAGATGTTGAAAACTTCATGGTCGTATTTCCTTTGTTAGTTAATTATTAAATTTTATAATAGGAAAGATAATTTTGGACCACCCTGTATATCTATAAATTGGATATTTTAGATTGACTAAAGAAGACATTACTAAGTTAACTCTATTACTGATCCCATCATATTTTCAAACACATGTTCTGAACTATCTGGCCTGGATGTAGCAATCTGGATGTAGTGGGTTCAAATCTCCAATGCTGAACATATTTAATCTTTTAGCTATGGGAGTGTTATAAAGTGATGGTCAATCACACTGTTCATTGCTGAACAAGTCACCCATAAGTTGGCAGTGTGTGGCATTGACTAGCTGCCTTCCCTTCAGTCTATCACTGCTAAATGAGGGATGGTTAGCACAGATAGCCCTCAAGTAGTTTTGCATGAAATTCAAAACAGACCAAAATATTTATGAACTAAATTTCTAGTTAGTCCATGAATTTGTAGGTTAAAGGGTCCGTAATGTGTTTTTATCATGTGCAATGATTTCCTATAAATGTAATCACGTAGGTTCCACAGATTATGGGGGGTTGGTTAAGGAAATGTATTATGGAGGTATTCTGGATTTACTGACTAACTGTGTTTGAATAAATGAATGAGAGTGGACATAATGTATAAAAAATGAAACAATCTTTATTCACAAAAACAAAAGAGCATATTCGTAAAGGATGGCACCTTTGAGCTCTCTGTATCTGTATCTATCAACAAGAACTTCTTGTTCTAGACTGATAATAATTAGCATTATATGCACAAAACAAAAATGCAACCAACGTGACTGTTGATCATTCCCTTTGAAAAGTAATGGTGGTTATAGCCTCGAGGAGTCAGATGACCTACCACTGGAAAAGATAATTGTCTACTTTCACACAATATGTACAACTTTACACAAATCTCTCTCATGAGATGGCACGGATGATGTCTTAGGGATTGATCCAGAACAATAGGTAATAGGGTAAAAGAAACTTAACTACTTCCTTGCCTATCATTCCATATTAAACTACATACACCTATATATATATAAACATTTTTACATATAAAAAGGGATAGCAAATACAAAAATGTAACCGATAATACCATTCATACTGCAATTAATCTCACTAGTTCCTACTGGGACCCCAATGTATTTTATACAAGAAACTAGTGATTTCAAACAATTTTTTTTGCCCATTTTTTACACTGAGTATTGTAAAAAAACAAAACATAAAATTAATGCATATGAAGCATTATGTGGACAATATAAAAATACGTCAGTAATTTGAGGATTAAAGTCTTTGAATAAATCCACATATAATATCCACTTGAAGGTCGGGTGATATTTAAAGGATATAATTTGACTCGTGTTTCAATAAGTATGATTAACAGTTACATGGGTAGTACAAGCATCCTGATGGAATTGGCATTGTTATGTTGTGTACACAATACCATGTTCTCACAGTCTGGAATAGATTTTACAGATTCAACTTCTTCGTCACAAATGCCTCTCAAGAGATAAATAGATCTATTTTCAGCAAAGATGCTATCCTTCCTACAATATACATAGAATTAAGATTTTTCCAGTATATATTTCGTGACCAAATCTCTTGTTATTCTGTGAAACCTATATTACCATTCTTGGAGGAAAAAAATTGCATATGAGTATACCACAATATTAAATCAGAAAGAGATTTTATCTTCCAAAAAAAAAAAAGACCAATGAGTGACTTACAAACTTGCAACAAAGAAACACATTGTATTTATGATAGGAATAATTATTATCACACAGCAGTTTGTATTCTCTATGTTAGTGTAATTTGTTTGCCTATTCGTATATTAAAAGAAGTAATAAAAGGTCGCTCTCTACTTTCACACATAATATGTACAACTTTGCAGAAACATTTCCCATGAGAATCAGGGGTGTAGAAAGTGGTAAGGCTAGTCAGGCCATGGCCTGCACTTTTTTGTTCATGGTATATTATAGCTACATTTATGTATGAAAACTTGCTTTTTTTAATTCAATACTTTACATGGTGTATATTTAGTATTTGTAGTTAAAATGGCAAATCTCATAGCACTAAATTTTCAAAATTTTTCTGGTGGGCATGCCCCCAGGGATAGAAATAATAAAATAAAATTACGTTCACTCGATGGAAAGCTATCAGGAAAATTAGATTCCCTCATGTCATGTTGCATTTCCTCATGAATTGTTTTTTAATATTCAATCCATGCAATATGTTCACTTTCATTGGTCATAACTAAAGGAATATGGATGGACCATGCATATTCCTGATCAGGAAAGTGAACTAAAAAGATGAAATTCCTCAAGCAAAGTTTAATTCCTCAGGAATCTAGTATTTTGATCCCTGACCACACCTAGAAATGGCAATATGTCAATGGCCTGACCACTCAAAAATTGCTTCCTACGGCAATAAGAAGACAAAGGTAATACCTTAGGAGTATGACCCACAACAACAGAAAGTTGAAAATTAAGTGTTAAATTATGTGTTTTCTGAATGACATCAGTACAATAAGTAAGTTAGATGTCTTCTTGTAGGATTAACAAAAGTTTAAATTCCTGAAATGTTATGTGGCACTAATAAGCACAGTATATAAATTCTTATGTTTTGCATTATACACAAGCTTTGGCATATGTGATGACCAAGCCTCTGGATTTTTGGAAGACCGTATTGTTCTCAGACGAATCAAGATTCGCTCAATTTTTGGACAGTGGAAGGATATGGGTCTGGAGAATGCCTCACCAAG